TCATCCTCGCCCCGAGCGCGCGATGCTCAAACCTTCTTTGCCGAACTTTCGAGATAGTGACGCACGGTAGATAAGCAGCTGCCCGCGACCTTATCGAGGCAGTCCCTGTCTCGCTAGCGCTCTGTAGTGCCGCCGAATCGCCGCCCGCTTTTCTGCTGCCCCGACGCTCTTTCGTTACTTATTTTTGTTTGGCAGAAGTTCGCCAATTAAACCTTTACTTTCAGTTCACTGTTCGCCTTCTCGTCGCCTTAATTCGTGACAATATTCTTGTTCGGCGTGTGTCGGTTTTGTGCCGCACTCGAACGTGACACTTTTCGCATAAAATCCAGCCCATAGGCACAATCTGAGCTATTTAAATACGCGGGGCCGTAAAACCCTATTAATTTTATTAGGTGCATTAAAAGCGTAAACATAGCAAAACAAAATATGTTTTTGTCGTGTTTTGTACAAATTAAATCAAACTTGGACCCTGAGGCAGATAATGACGTTATGCTAAAAGATCAGAACTTCTAAATGTCTGTCATCTTCAGGCATCATAGATCTATAGCATCTCTTTCATTCACGTAAATATTCACCAGTATTTATATTCCTTTTGCTTTTTCGCATTAAAATCCAAAGCCTGCTTCACTCAGGTGTGATTAGGTCTACACTTTCATCAACTTCATATACTCCATTGTTGTCGTCTTCAGTTAAGTGAAGACTTTTCTGCCTTTATTCATACTTTTAGGCAAGCGGTTTTATAAAACCACTTGCATAAAAAGTAAAAACAAAACACAAAAAACTTAGCTTTGTGCACCGTCTTGCTGTCGTTGCTAGATCAGTTAACTTCGAATGAGTATGAACCAGTGTTGCGGAATGGGCACCCCCATTCCATTCCAATTCCATTTCGGTGAATTAGAGTTTTCTCTAATTCCATTCTTTTCAACTCCTAGGAATGGGGACACTGGGCCCATTCTCACTCCTGGAATGGCTGAATCGTTCCATTCCATTCCTCCAATTCGTAAACGTAAAAATTGCAACTTTACAGCTACAGTGTGTTGCATGGTTGGGCACAAAATATTCAAAAATGTATTTGGATATTAAAATACTGGGATAGATGAAAATAGTTGCTAAGATACTGATACTCAAGTCTCAAATATATCTGTAAAAATGTATCGCGATACGTATCGGGAATGCATCTTAAAAAGAGGCAAAAAGTCTTTGGGAATACAAATACAAGAATGTATTTTAGGGAGGGCAGAAAAATAAATACTGAGAATGCACTACATTTTTCAAATTTCTTTGAGACACCAAGTGAGATGAAACTCTAAGTTTGAAGTTTTTTTTTTTTTTTTTTGGTCCCGAAATTACTTTTCCGCAAGCTTGGCACTTCGCTTTGAAGGTAGTGCTTCCGGACGAAGAGCCCTCAAGTTAATGGGTTAAAAAACGTTCCATCAAGGATTGACCGCGGTCCCTTCCCTGGCATCCTGTCTAGCTGACCAGTGATGCGAAGCGACTTCGACCTCTAAATAAATTGCAACAAAACATCAGCACTTCCCTGTCCAATAAGGGCGCCCCTGTCAGAACTGATCACATGACGTCACGGTGGGATGAACTAGTATTCTTGAATCTGTAGGTGTTGCCTTGAACATGAAACTTTACCCACGCTGCTGTAGGAAAGGACAATTAATACCTACTTTCGTTGTAGGTGACCTCGTTGAAAACCATGCAGGCCGTTGCATTTGGAATTTTCGGGAAAAGTGGACCACCTGAAGCATCCTGAAGCACATGTCTTATCTTCTGTTAAGGTTGAAAAATCAATACGGTGGCACCCCTGTTGTGACGGTCCTTCCTGCCATCTCTCCACCTCCAACGCATGAATGGCAGTCTTCAAGTTTCGCCTAGCATCATTCAAACAGAGACTTCGTAGATTGCAACCTGAGATGGCCGGCACAGGTGCGAGCTCTCCGAGAAACAGCGCTCTCGAGGCGAGTCGCAGGTGTACGAAGCCTGGGTCCACACAACGAGGCCACGTCTGGCCTCCTTCCTGGGTATCGGATCACCAGAGCAGCAGGTCACGTTCACGTCGACTGATGACGTACCTTTGAGCGGTGCAATATTACAGGCGCAGACGCATTCAGATACGTGTTGAACTTCACTGGTGAAAGGCGCCACCGCCGCCACCCCCCCCCCCCCCTCCCCCGCTCTGTTCTTTGCTTTGACGCTTTTTTTTTGTATGTCATTCTTTTGCGATATAAGCCTGTTAGGGCCTTACGTGGGTTTGCAGTTTCCCGCTCATTTTATTTCTGAACAAACGACTCCCTGACTGGCTCGGTATAGCTCAATGTAAAAAAAAAAAAATATATATATATATATATATATATATAAAGAACCTGGCCCCATTCCATTCCCATTCCATTCCGGGGTCGTGAAAATGCGGAATGATTCCGGGAATCATTCCAACTCCGGAGTGGCGACTCCGCAACACTGGTATGAACTTGTGTTCAGGGCCTCTTGGTAAGGACAAGGCCGTCAGGTATATATAGTAAAACATTCCCAGATTCCATTGCCAGCGCAGCGAGCTGGATAAGGTTCTCGGTGTCAGTTGTTGTTGCAGAAAACCATCTCTCACGTATATCCTTTTTTTTTTTTTGCTTTTTGAAGATATGTGGATCGTTTTCTTATCAGTGGAAACAGAACTGCTCCATTTGTGTTAGCTAGAATGACCTCGGTTGATCGGTCAAGCACCGCTTTTATGACACGCGTGACACCCAGCAATCGCATCGCCACGTGTCGGTTATCCCACCGTGCTCTTTCGAATATAGGCTGTTAATCGCACATGGTAGATATCAGGAAGGGCTAGGGGCAAGTATAGTGTTCTACCAAATCGAAGTGAAAAAAATTGGGGGACACAAGAGTCATTTCGAAGAAAGCAAAAAAAAGAAAGGAAGAACAGGGGAAAGAGACGGACTTGTACTTTGCAGGTAAAACCAGTATACAAGGACGTCCTCATCGAGCGAATAGAACATTAAGTTACCCTTATCATTGTTTCCACGAGACACCTTGAACTATTTTAATAGCTGGTTCATCGTATGATGTTGGCGTACTGCACGTTTACTGGCCTTATGAAATAAAATGGTATGAAAAATGTTGGAAGCTAACTAGTGCCCCTTTGAGTTTGACTGGAATTCCATTCTTCGAAGCTTTCTAAACACATTGCCGGATATGTTGCATAATCTAATTTTACAATGAAAATTTATGAGCATTGCGCGTTGCTTAAAACGTTATATGAAAACTTGCTGAAAGGACTACTAAAATCGGCAGGGGGTGAACCCTGGCATCTTCAACTGGCGTACAGTTCCATATAAAGGCACGCCACCAACCCTATTTACCGGTCATAATTGTACATTATCCATATTTGTGTGTGGAGATGACTGTGGATAATAACGCCGCCTAGGTATTGATCACCACGCATCCATATCCTGGAAGTTGGTGACTCGGACTTCTTTGAGTCCCACCCGCTTACCCCTTAGCGAAAACTAAGACGTTTGAAATATACCACATTCAAATTTGAGTGTATTTGAAGCACATTCATGATTGTAAGTACACAATCTATAGACCGAAAATATACACTTCTTTTTTACTTAGTACTAAAATATATTTCTGAAAATCTTTTAAAAAGTACCTTTATTTAAACTATATTTGAAGTTCCCTTTATGCGTTCTGAAATATCTAAATACTAAATTATTAGGCACAAAATACCTTTCTCATAGATTTTTTTAATATTTATTTATTTTATGAAAAACATACTGCAACCCTATTAGTAATGCAGCGATCAAAAATATGTGCAAAATACTCTTAAAATACCGGGAAATCGTAAATACTGTAGTGTTATACTCTAAGCTTCTTTTGACTGCAATACTTTGGTAGTCTGACTTAACCGAAATAGTGAAAAGCTCGCCTATCAGAAGTTAACTTCGAGCAGATGTGGAGTACACTGAAGTGCCTGAATACAACAATTGATTAGTTTGTCAATTGAGTTGTGCTGCATCGCACTGATAAATCAGCCAAGTTTATGTTATTGTTTTCTTTTTTAAATCAAAAACAGACTTGATGAATGTCTTGCACACCAACCATAAACCGGGTTCGGGAACTACAACCACAACACTTGCTGATGCTGGAAAGCTTCAGCACGTTCTGTGAGCAGGTATGTTTAGCGTGCACTTGTGTTAGCACAATGTTAGTTCACTGAATGTGTATACTCACCGTCGTACGTAATGTTAGTAGTGACTTGAATATAGTGACGTTAATGACCGTATTAAATAATCAACTAGTAAAGAAAAGCAAAATAACTATTTTAAAGTGAAGAAACTAGCTTGACTCGCTTCACCCTGGGTGGTATTATGCAGAGAAGCCATAGCATTTCTCCTAGGAGCCGTTTTTGTGGATATTGTTTTAGCGACTGCAACGAATTATTATTAGTTGTATTAATGCTTTTAGTAAGAGATATCGTCCACGAACTTCAAAACACTGTTTCCCTTTGGACAGAGCCCCGAGGAGAAGATTGAATACTTGGAACCTTAATAAGTGCAGAGCTGGTCACCGGCGAAATGATTACCTTAAATATGTAGGCTATATCAGGCTCTAGAGCAGTTACAGGGACTGTGATTCAGGCGTTCAGTGCGTCATGGTGTTTGTGTTTGTAATCGTTTCTGATCTGTATTTGTGGATGTCTTTAGTAGTACCTTCAAATACCGCACGGACACATTTACTAACAAATCCCCCCATAATATGTAGCTCGTTCTAAGCGCACAAATTGCATCTTGAGGGGGAAGGAATTATATTTTTGGTATATCTAAAAGCTTTTCTGATTAATATTTATAACATATTTTCAATACCTTGCACACCTATTTCAAATCGGGCCAATACAATACATAATGAATACAAAATGAATATTCATATTCAATATATTTCAAGTTCGTTCCAAGTACGGCCTCTTTTGCTAAGGGACAGCGTACGTCTGAGAAGCAACTTTCATTTTATTCTTATTTTGGCAATGTCAGTTTGGCGCAGCATTTTGGGTAGTTACACGTGATTGTGCCTGAATGTAATCAGTGAATGACCTGGTCAAACTGCCATTGTCTGCGTTGTCACCGCGATCGTAGTTGGTGTTCCGACGACAGAGGTGATCATAAAGTAGATTTTTTCTGGGCGTGAACAAAGAATAGATCTAAGGGATAACTTGGACCCTCGGGCGTCCTAATGCAGTTGTCAAGGAGCTTCGCCGACAGCTCTTCCGTCATACGATCCTTTTCCTCTTCAGTGGTGCCAGTCTTCGTGGTGACGAGGGGAACAAGCAGGCCTGCGCAGGAAAAATTAGAAACCATTCAGAATGCCGGGGTCACAATAAAAGGCTCCGTAAATTTTTCAAAGTTTAAGGGTTACGACTTTTTTTTAGCACAGCCTACGTTTTTTTATTTAGCAGCCTTGTAGGAAAATATCTACATCATAGATTTTGTGGTTACCGGATAATACTAGAAAAAAAAAACCAATGTATTTAAGCATCTGCAAAATAGCGGATGCCCGTGTACTGTAAAATATATCGTCTTTCGTATTTTTGTGACTACGTCCCGTCTATTTCGGGTTTCTTCTTCATTATATTGTTTAGCTACTTCGCCCTTTCGGTCAACGCTCGGTCAATGCAGCTTATGTTGAACAAAAACGTGCATACATCTGGCGATGTAGGTTGAATTTCGCTAAGCCATACCCGTTGGAACCACCACGGTCCACGTCCTAGCGAATGTAATGTCTGAGACGGTCATCTTGTTTGTTTGTTTTTATTTTCAGCTCGTAAATTTTATCGTGTACTTCACTGAACTATACTGCGTAACATGTATTGTTTTGATTGTTGTGTCCTAACCCTAGAGGCACAAACTTATAGGAAGCGCCCACTGACGTAACACCCGATTAAATTCTGAAACAGATTGCGTACAGGGTTCCGATATTTTAATAATAGGGAGTTTTCGTAGATCGTTTTGGCCTTTCCGCAACGCTATCCGCTACCCGCTACGAGACCCGCTAACAGAGGCATAGGGGAGACTCAAAAAAGTGTTTTTGTAGACCGTCCTCTGCGGGCTACGGTACTGCGATAATGACAACGCCACTAGCGGTCGTAGAAAGCACTATATAAAACATTAAACGCATACTATTAGTGCAACCACATATATGTTTTATCAGAGTGCCTATTTTCGAACATAACACATGGTTTATTTACGATTATGAATGTTAATCTTTTTTCTGGATACATTTTTCGTAGCACATCTTGCCAGCTTGCGGTAATCGTGCTTTGCTTAAAGCCGGATTCAGTTCGGCCAAGAACTCTCTTTGTCATCTCGCGCTCTTTTATGTTTGTGGACGCGTCCTCCGCCAATTCCCGAAGATGCAGCGGCTCAGCTTTCTTGAGGACCAACGTTTCTTGTCCAGTTTAAGTTGGAGGGAAATAGAGGATGTGTATTTGATGTATTTGGAACCGCCAAAGCGGTGTTATGTTATTCCACTGATGTGCGCCACTGGTATGGTGTACTTTTGGAATTTGTACTCTATGAACGGGGAAACACTATTGTTTGCTGTTTTAAGGCGCTACCGACTGTTCATCAGCAAATAATTTTGTCTTTAGTCTTTAGATTTTCTTTATTTGACTCTGGAGAGCCGCGGCACCGCGGAAAGGCACCAGCTCGTACCGTGTAGGCCCGCGGTGCCGCGTCTAGTGAACATGATAATGCCACGAGTATATACATGCATAATCACGAGAATACCAACATGGAGTGTTGGTATTGAGTAGGATGACAGTCCGATTGACAGAAGTCTAGTATTTGTGGAGGCGGGTTGGGCGGGTGAGAAGCGAGCTGGGGGACCTGGCACGCCGTTCGATCGGTGCATGAAGAAGCCTTCGGAACATTATGGCGCTGTTGCTCGCTGGGTTACACTGCGGTCGAAGCATCAGGCTCCAAGGAGGTAGCCCAGTCAAAGTAGAAGCTGCCGCTTCCGAGGCACCAGGGCTCAGATTGAGGCACCGCCGTCGCTCGGTGTGTCATCCTCTCAACGTCCTCGTCGTCGCTGTGTTCTTGATATATCCGCATATATATATATATGTAAATAAAATAAGATAGATAAAAACATACACAATCGAACGGCCAGTGTATCTCGAGATCCGCTATTTCGGAAGGCGCCTCCACAACCACGTCCGCAACTCCGCAAGGTCTGCGCTAGATTGGCGCATGCGCAGTAGTTGCGGAGGCGTAGGCGATAACGTAGCAGAGGCGTAGGAGAGACGCCAGAATGATCTACGAAAACTCCCTATTATCGGGAGAACGCCGACGTTCCGCTAGATCAGGAGCGTCTTCTTGCGGCATGAAGCGGCAAAAACAGCGAGAAAAATGGCGCGCGCAGAAGGCACACGCCGATGCGAGCGTCGTCTGCAATGGTTTTCCCCCAAAACACATTTGAAGCACCACGAGGACGTCGTTGGGGTAAGTTTGTGCCTTCTGCTTACGCGCTTATTTTGATAGATTTCGCCACTTCACACCGCGATAAGGCGTCGATCCAGAGACCGGTGGGCGTTCGCGCAATACTAATTCAAGATATATAGGCTGTAGATATAACAAATTTGACATGTATTACGTTGACTAGGGTTCAAGTAGAAGAAACACTCACGGGAAGTGCTACCGCGCGCGCGCTAAGAAAGTTTGGTCAAATAGGTCTATTGCTCTTTGCGTAACTATCAATTGGTGGATAGCGAAACCGCTCTGAATCATTCGTTACCGAGCAGAAGTTCGTCGTTGCTGAAGTCACTTTGTGTTGGATACACCTCGCAGGACAGAGTCGTCATTCCTGCGTCGGCCACAAGCCTTCTTACGACCTCTTCAAGACCGTCCAGGCTTGAGGACAGCTCGTCATGCCAGGTGTCGGCAAACGTAAGCCTTGGATCCTGTTGGTAAAGAGATTTAAAAAAAAATATGGCAATAAAGTTCAAAAAGCTATACTAATATGGTAATACAAACGGGAATATATGACACATTCTAAACCGAAAGAAACAGAAAAAAAAAACATGAGTGTGAAGTGTTTGGTACCTAACAGGGGGGGGGGGGGGGGGGAGGGGGGAGGGGGGGAAGAAGAGAAAGATGAAAGAGACGAGAAGAAAAAGAAAGGGAAGAAGAGAAAGCAGAATATATTTTTTCAGTGCCTATTGCAGATTCCGCGCGGAATCACTATTTTAATCATACAGAATTATCAACATATATTTCGATTGAATGAATACCTCCTGACTAAGCCATTTTATTTTTCATCTCACGGTAATATTATCTCTATGAAGCATACATCAAATTTAATTCGAAATAAAACCACCATCCAATCCCGCTGCTCAGAAGAATAGAACGGAATGTCTCATTTTCGTACAAATTGCAGTTTGGAATTCGTTCATTATAACCTCCCCAGTTACCTCAATAAACAGTGGGAAGACAGCATTGACATTTCGTTTAGATCTTAAATCAATCTACCTGCTTTTTTGTCAAATATGTATTTTTTTCATGAAAAAACTTTTGCAAAAGTTTATTTTCCAGTATATCTGCTAATCTGATTATTTTCTGCATCTCCAGTGCCCTCTACCATGACCACGGCACGCAGACCTCGTCAAGCCAACAGTGATTGGCTTTTGTTTTTTGCACGGGCACCTGCCTTTTCAGATGCAAAAACAAAAAAAAAGATTAATTTGATTAAAAAAAAACTCGAGGTTTTAGCACGGTTCCGATAATATAGAGGATTTTTATAAAAGTCGCACGTTAAACACACGACGTGATGCTTTAAGACAGCGACAGCTGTACTGAGGCTTATTCCACGATATGACGCTGACGATCGATTGGCATTGTGCCGACCGTGCGGCATACGGTAATCTGATTCGAAAGGGCTCAGCGTTCATCTAGCGTACATACGTTTGCCGTGTTGGCCGCCGGCAGGGGCCAACGATGCTTCACAGAGTCGCGCCCAGATCCCAGAGAAGAAGCAAAAAGCCTCCTTCTCAATCTGAGCGTAACGCGACGCTGTCGGCGTTAAAGACCTTGAGTCGAACGCCACTGGACTGCGTTCATTATTTTCTTGCTCTTCGGAGCAATAATCTGACCACACTAAATGCGGAAGCGTTTGGCGGAGAGTATTATGGTGCACTGCGGGTCGTATTGAGCCCTGCAGCGCTTTCAACTAATCATTTCTATGGGAGGCTTTTTGGTTGGCCTTTGGCATCTGAGCGTGGCTCTGTCTAACGTCGTTGGCCCGCGCCGGGGCCCAACGCGACAACGTTGTTGGTAAATAAATGATTTTAAGGTCGTCGTGTGTTTTCCTGCCAAATTTAGAGGGGAAACTTAATTGGTAGATAGGTCACGTGACGTTCATTTTTCTCCTAAACTTAGCAGAAAACTAAATTAATACTTGGGTTACGTGACATAAACTTTTCCGCTACATTTAGCGAGAAACCTGAATTTGTCTCGAGGTCATATGACGTCAGGTCACGTAATATTAATTTTTCAGACAAATTTATGAGGAACTGAATTGGTACAAAGTGCACGTGGCGTCTATTATTTTGCAAACTTTAGTGGGGCACCTGAATTTTTGTCCAAGTCCTGTGACGAGAGTCACCTGACCTGAATTTTCCCACCAAATTTAAAGGGGAAACTAAATTAGTGCATACGTCATGTGACGTCTATTTTTTCGCTAAATTTATCTGGGAAACTGAATTGGTGCATATGTCACGTGACGTAAATTCTTCCGTTAAATTTAGCGGGCACAGTGATGGCGTTTACGCCCGCGCCGTCAAGAAATTGGGGAAACGGCAAGATACAACTATCGCTGTTAAAAAAGAATCATCAGTATCTCATCGAGATACGTGTCATGAACATGGTACAAGGCATATTGAATATTATGCTTGAAGATAGTAAATTCACTAAAAATAGTTCGAAATCGCTGCTCCCGCCACGCTGATTCTCGAAACTTCCGTTGGCATTTCGTGCAGTGGTTATAAAGGGTGTTTCACAAGTTCGATACTGCAAAAACTACGCATCACACCAAAAAAAGGCTTGTGTCGTTTCGATCCTAGGCCAGGGGCCATATTTAGGAATATTGTTAATGGTCGGGATAACTAAGTTGTTAAGCACTTTTCCGTAAATGTTTCGTAGATATTGCGTTCAAGGTCATTATTTCATTTAGAAACTTGCTGAGCAGCATCGAAAAACACTAAATAAAATTAAGTGGAGTGCGATAGAAGGTACGCAATGCATTTTACAGTTTTATGAAAAACAGCACAAATTTCGTCAGGTTTTTAAGTTTCGGTTTGCAATCGGAGCGCTTCTCGGCATCGACGGTACCACTCCCCGTGGAGAAATAGCGCAACCAACATCTGCATCGCTGTCCTCGCGCAAGGCAGCAGAGGCAAATTGCACAATTTCTCCATGGGGCGCGGTGCCGTCGGTGCCGAGAAACGCTTGGATTGCAAAAGTAAACTTAAAAACCCGTACAAGTGGTGTGGTTTTTCAAAAAGTTGTAAAATGCATCGCGTGCCTTGTATCGCACTCCATTTTTTAGTTAGTGTTTTACGATGATCTTCAGAAAGTTTTCAATCAAAAGATCAATTACACGAAAACAGATAAAAACTTAATTATCCCGAACTTAAATCATTTTCCCAAATAGGCTTCTAGCCTAAAAAGACGACACAAGCCTCTTTCTTTTTTTTGTTTTTTTGGTGCAGTGCGTAGTTTTCGGAATATCGAATGTGTATCCCTTTTGTGAAACACCCTGCATATAACAAGGCATGGTGAATGCAGCCTCTCAGCACTTTTCCGTGAGGTGAACATGCCCAAAACCCCTCACCTCTCTGGTGCAAGCAGATTGGGACACTTATTTGGCTCATTCGTCTAGGCCCGCATCGCACTGGTGCTGTGCGGTTCGTGGTACAGGCAAGACTAGAGAGGAGAGGGGAGCCTCCTTCTTTCGCCAGCAGCCTTCCGTGTCTATCTCTTCACCAGCCTCCCGTGCCGTAAAATGCAAAGAGCTTACCGCTCTGCAGGTGTACGGTGTGCCCCAGACAAATAGGCCAATAGCGTGTGTATAAATGACGTACACATGATGCGCGGTAAACAACAAAGGAATTTCGTTGTTGTGCATACATTTTGTGCATGCAGGGGCGACAACACCGTGCGCTTACGGCCCGGGGACATGGTAAGACGACTGCGGGTCAAGAACGACGCGGCCGGCCGCGAACAGAACCGCAGCCTGTGTGCGACCACAGGTACCCAAAGCCGGCGGCAGGAGCTTCTAAGAGCGTCAAAAGCGCGCACCCGCATCCTAGCCACTTATTTCGATTGACTAGGTGATAGGACGCATGGCAACGGCTGCCGCACAGGTTTGGCTGATTATAGAGAGCGGCGGCGTGACGTGACACCTAGCAACCGAGGTGGAGTGGGGGATATCGGGGGTAGGGCATACTTGGGCAGCCGGTGGGGAGCTACGAAGCGGTGGCGTGTATGGGTGGGCCAAGCTGCGTTAATATTGTGCGATGAGCCATCCGCAGACTGGACCGTCGCCGCGAAGCGTCGTTAACGGGGGAGGGGGGGGGGGGGCGAATACGCGTTCCAGCAATACACTGGACGTCCCTCATTGCGCCGCGTCGAAATTTGCGAAGAGGGTCGTCGCAGGCGATCTTTGGTTGCTAGGTGTTACGCCACGGCGTCGAACCTTATAACCAGACAATCCAGCACGGTTTCCGCGTTGCCATGCGTCCAATGGCTTAGACTCCCAATATGTGCCCACCATCGCAATCTCTCGCCGCTTGCAAAAGGTGTTTCCTAGCCAGTTTCCGCAGCCAGTGTTGACGTTGCGTCAAGTTTTAGGTACCATCAAGTTATAAATAGTTAGAGGTACATTTCTCTTGCAACCTATCATGGTCAGTTCTTGTTGACCACGTCATCTCCGAAATTAATCGGTCCCTGGAACAACTACAACGTCACCTCAGATTTGCACCATCAAACTTGAAACCTGCAGCCTCCAAAGCGCTCTTTCGACCAAAGCTAGAGTATGCTGCCGACATATGATACACATGTGAGAATTACGTTAGACATCAGCTGTAATTTGTTATAATTCGCGCATTCAAGTTTATTTCTCTAGTTATTCAATCGAATTTTTTGTCACGGTTTTAAAAGAACGCGCGGAACTGGAAAGATCTATGACATCGACGAAGGTTTCTTCACTATCCCTGTTTCATAAGTTTTGCTGCAAAAGTAACTGCGGTGTGCTCTATAGGATACATATGTTTTGAAGCTCAGCGTCTAAATAGCGGAAATGTTACAGAAAAACCTTCCTGCTAAATTTATCCATTTTTTTTCTGATAAACTTAGCGGAGAATTTAATGTCCCGTGACCTCAACACGAACCCAGTTTTGTTGCTAAACTTAGCGGGGACATTTTCGCTACCTTTCCTGTTAAATTTAGCTGAAAATTAAGCAATAATTTCACGCTAGATGGAAGGGGAGCAGGAGAGGACGAGGAGAAGGGGAGGAGACAAACCTTCCCCTCTTTACCCTCTCTTCCTCCTCAAGAGCTGCGCTCTAATTCGGCATTACAGAGAATTGTAAACGTCTTTGATTTTTTTTTTTCATTTTGTATAATATACTTTTTTAAGTCTCCATGCAAGGGCCTTTACGTCATTTAGGATAATTAGGAACGGAGGATTTTTTTTCCGCCTTCAAACACTTCACCTCAGCCGTTAAAACGTCCAACTTGAGCACAATCTTGTCGACAACGAACTTTGCCAGCGCACGTGGAATGACCAGAGGTTTGTCAAAGATAGTGTTTCCTGGAAATAGATCGAATTCGCTCTCCGACTTGGGGCAATCTGGTACCGCTCCCGTGGCGTTATCTTCCGAGATTCGACGCCGTGGCGTAACACCTAGCAGCCGAAGATTGCCCGCTGCGACCCTCTTCGCCGATTTCGACGGCGAGCGTATCACTGGAACGCGTATTCGTCCACCCCCCCCCCCCCCCCCCTCCCCCATTCACGACGCTTCGCGGCGAAAGTCCAGTCTGCGGATCCCTTTCCTTCAGGTGTTTTCCCTTCAACAGTTTTTTTTTTTTAGACTTTGGGACACCCGTCTGAATAAGCGTAATTATCTAACATTTTGCTCACAAATAAAAACTCATTTTGACTTTACTTGATTTGTCGGGTGCAGGCACCACATTGGTATGGGCTGGAAACTCATGACATGATCACATAATATTCTTCGAGACCCACATTTATGCAGCCACAGTGAAACTTCCGTCTGCATCGGCCAGAACAAGCCATGAATTGCGGCTTCCCGACAATAATTGCGGAGCACGGTCCGCGCAATAGCTTCTGCTTCTTCGGCACCATCTTGTCAAAGATAATGTAGTGAGTGCGCAGGCGAGCTGGTGGCTGTTAACCTTTTTGTTCTTAGCCCGAGACTGAGGCAGGAAAAGAGGAACGTTTCAAAGAAGAAGAAAAATGAACACTGTTGTTCATTTTTCTTCTACTTTGAAACTTTCCTCTTTTCCTGCCTCAGTCTCGGGCTAAGAACAAAATGGTTGTCAAAGATGTCGCCAAATTGTTCTTCGTTTCAAATCAAATCAGTTCAATCTTATTTACTGTAAAGAGGGGAAGATTGTGAAAAAAAAAGTTTCTTTCTAGCATAGTGACGAAGGACCCAGCCCCCGCGTAGTTCATAACAGCGCTTAAAATCGTACAAGGAAGAGGAAATAAGCAACACAGCGTCCCCAAAACTACTTTTTAAGTTACCAATCCAACAAGGTGGCAAAACAAAATAAAAACAGGCGGTGACGCAAGAGTGGCTGAGTGACTGTGAAGCGATTTTCAGACCGTTTTCTAATTTCGGCTCAATCTGCGCGAATTGATGTTTTGTGCAGAATCTAACTATGCAAGAGTCTCTTCGTTACGTTTAGAGGCATAGGACCTGTAAGAATGCCGAAAGCGCCGAGCTCGCTTTTGTAGCTTTTGCTACGCTCGCACTTCAGCTGAAATACTGTATTCCTGACTCCAGCGAAACGGGCGACACCTAGCGGTAAAACACCAAACTGGCGAAACAGGTCGTGTCGCGATTTCTGTTCATATTTTACGGCTTCCGCGATAGCGTGTTGACGGCAGTTGGAGAAATGGCTACGGAAGTTAAACAAGAAAAGTATCGGTGCGTTTTGTTTTCTACAGGACCGAAAACGGCAAAAACGACAGGGCTGCAGTGAAACCCGTGGCTGGCATTAGTCTAACGACTTGGGTGCGCCTTGTATTGCCTTTCATCTTTTTCAGGGCAAGGAGTGGTCCTGGTGACTTTAGCGGTACTGCTGTATGAGCTTGTTGCCTAAGATTCTGTTAACGCAAACTGCCGAACCGCGTGAACCAGACATTGTGCGTTTACGAACATTCATTGGCGCGGTACAAGAGCACTAGGTTTATTCGCTTCTATGAAAAAGACTAAGTCTCTAAAAGCCCGCTCACGCCAACACAACTCCGCAGGTTTTGCACGTATTCAACAAAAATAAGGCAAAACCATTTTGGCGCCAACGCTAGCCCGCTTAAATCCGAGCCTTGTGCGTTGAACTGGCACATGGCACGGCACGATCTGTTTTTGGCGGCCACATTTTCGAGAGTGGCAAAACCTATAAGTGAATAAAGTTGAGAATAGCAATCGCCTTTATATATATATATATATATATATATATATATATATATATATATATATATATATATATATATACATATATATATATATAAAGTTTTGGAATGTAAAGTGGTATACTCACACCAATGATGTTCTTCCAGCGTTCCATCTTGGACATTTCTACCCAGACGTTGTAGAGCACGAACTGTGCGCAGAAGACGAGGAGGCATTCCCCATCATCTTTCAGCAGCGTGCCGATGTTGCGGAACACCGCCTTTTGGTCTATGATCCAATGCAGGCAATAAAACGAGTAAATGCGGTCAAACTTGCCGTACTTGTTGAGAAACGCAGACACGTCCGAGGAACCTGCATCAAGGACGTCGTAGCAGATATCTCGATGTCCGTAGTTTCTTTTCGCGTAGTTCAACATGGATGGGGATATGTCAACGCCTACAATCTTTCGGCACGGATGATTCCAGTGAAGCAATACGTCTCTCGTAAAGTCTCCAATGCCGCATCCGATGTCAAGGATCTGATGGCATGCACTAGAATAACTTTTGAACTTCGTTCTTTTCAAAGCTTCGACATTGTTGGGCCTCACAGTGGCACTAATACGCTCGTAATGTTCTGGGTCAAATCCCGCTTTCATTTTTATTTTCAACTTATAACTGCAGAGCACAATGTCGCGCTTGGCAGGACCTATGGGCTTCGTGTCGGTTTTATAGCAGCTCCCAGCGGGACGGTGAAGGGTCGACACCAACATATCTTTCGTCGTTGCACAAAGTATCGCTATCGCCACTTAAGGCTTTGGTATCTTGAGTTGGCGATTGGGCATCATTTATTCTTAAAGATAAACACAGTGCATTTCATCGGGATAACCGGACTGTGCCGGATAAGGCACTTTAACACAAAAATTGGCCGATCTGCAAAATTCCAAAACAATTATTACCTGACGCAAGGCATGTTCCCACATACAACGCAGTGTTAACTCAATGTGGATCCAATGCTGGCAACAACACTTATTCGGGATAAATTAATCACTGACTTTATGGCGTTTTACAACATGTCAAGATTAATATATCAGCAATAAGAAATTAAAAATAAAGGATGCCAGCGGCACATCGGAGGTTTTGAGGTATGTAAACGAGGTATAGTGGTGATCGTTCAGCAGCAATTTATTTATATTAACGTGGGTTTAGTGTAATGTACAAAAAATGTGAAGGTTTTAAGTTTCGATTCTGCCTCTTTATAACTGCCAAAAATTAAGATATATTTTTTAGGAATGCAGGTATTTCTTGCCGAATGTTACAACACGCACTGAATACGCGTTTTTTGACATCATGGTAGCCGTATAAGACAGATGAGTTACCCAAATTGCCTTTCTCTTAAAGTAGCAATTTTTTTATCTGGCTTTTATATGGCTAATAGACACTGCCCTCCGTCAGCGACTGTGGAATCCCTGCACAATGGCGGACTGAAACCGTAACGTCACAGAATACTTTCGGCGTTTGCTTGGATTAGAAGCACGAACATACCTACAGATAAAGGAGATAAGCGCAGTGACGTTGCACTTTCGACGATGTTTAATTGGCACAGGAATTCGAATTCTTTCGCCTGCACGTTGGAGAGTCGCATACAAATTCACTATTGCAATAATGATTTAGTTGAGTGTAGTATATTGAGGTGAAAGATGTCTCTTTTAGCGCTCTTTGTTCATAAAGGCCGAGTTGTTTGACGCGCCCTCTCATGCTTGGGATTCCGGTGACATATAAAGAAAACACAATTTCAAAACAACATAGAGAAAAAGAAAATACCGTAGAACCACAGCGCCGTCCAAAACCGGATTTTTATTGTTCTCTACAGTGTCCCAGATAAAGGCGACAAGACGATACCATAACGAACTGAAAAACAAACAAAAAAATAAAGGTTTAATCGACGAACTCGTGCCATACACAAAGGGGACAACCAACGCCGAGAAAGCAGGGGCCCTAATCTGGACTCTTGACGAAAAGGGCGGCGAGAAATCTGGCGGCCCTGATTGGGCGGCACGGCACTTGACCTTGGCGCCGGCCAACCTGGGCGGCCGGATTTCTCGCCGACTTTTTCGCCAAGTGTCTATATTATGCAGGGGCAGATCCAGACCTCCATTTTAGGGGGGCCGGTTCCTCGGTGTAAAACGGCGGTGGGGGGGGGGGGGGTGTTTATATTTTTTGTGGAGTTATCGTTTTTACTAAACTCTGATAACATAATATAGATCTTGAGAGCTTTTGTATCGGTTCACCTGTCGGGGATGAACTCTTTGAATTAAAACCTTTCGGGCGACCACGCTATACTTCGTTTCAGCTTCGGTCCGAGCGCGGCCGATGTAACGAGCAGAAGGGCCAATCAAACAGCGGAGAAAGCGAAACGTCATGGCGTGCTCTCTGCAGTTGATAGGACCAGCCGGTATTCGCCGTGTCTCTGTGCGCGCTCCTCCGCCGGCTAGTCCTATCAAGAGCAGAGCACGCCATGACGCTGCGCTTTTTGCGCTCTCTGATTGGCCCTTTGGCTCATAACATCGGCCGCGCTCGGACCGAAGCTGAAACGAAGTATAGAGGCAAGTATCTAAAAATTGTGGTGGCACTATCCTCTCTGAAACTTGGGTTTCAGACCGACACTACGTGAGCAGTCGATTTAGGGTAGCTTAAAGACATTGCCTTGGCAGCCATTCTGGTTGAAGCTAGTGCTCAACTGCTGTGGCAACGGGAAGAGCGGCTTAAATCAGCGGAGCGAGTACGTTGCAAACAAGCGACAAAAATGGCCCGGCGGCTTCGACGCTGCTCGCGGCGTCGAAACAGTGTTGACGCAGCGAGCGAAACGAACGCTGTCAGGCAAGTTCGTCGGTTGTTCGCCGTATATTTGGAATGTCCAGAGCTCAGCACATGCGGCATTGCCAACCCAAACTCGTGTTTTCACGTGTTCTGGATGCAACTCGAGAGAACGAAAGCGAATAATTGTTGAATATGTTTGAAAGCATGTTGCAGTTCGGCAACTATAACTTTTAAACTTAGACAAGACCTTAAACCAGCAATGGATCCTTCCAAATTATATTCAATTGCAATTCGTCTGGATATTTTCTGTATGAAAGGAACACTTGTTTCTGGGTAGTTAGCTCACCCGTCAGGGTCGAGAGGACAGGTGCAGAGATATGATAGGGCAGGGATGGGCAAAATACATGCAAATATGTATCGAAATACAAATACAAAATACTTCGTCAAAAATGTATTTAATTACAAATCTAACTACATTTCCACAAAAGCATTTAAATACAAGATACAAATACAACCAATGTATTTGGTCTCCTCCAAATACTTTTCCAAATACATTCCTCAAAATTTGCGTCAGCGACTTCAGGGCACCTGCAACGGGTTTCTGGGTATCTCGTTTTAATTTTTCCATCGCACACTCGGGATTTATAGTGCGATGCTCTAGTAACGTAATCGAAATATAATCGCAAAAAAAAAATGTAATCAGCTTGGACGTAATAGGTGAAAAAAGTACAGAGCTTCAAGCAGCTTTTTTTGTCGATTACATTTTGGCATTAGATCAACAAAGAACCGAGACGACCAAGACGCGCAGCGCTAGCTAGAGAATTTTTTATTGTTCCAACTCGTGCCAGTTACGAAAATCTGGACGGCCCGCATATTTAGAATGTTCCAGGCAAAAATATGAATGAAAATCAGGCTGGAAAGCATCACAAGTTGCCACAGGCACTTATTTAGCCAGTCTGCCTGTGAACGTCGATTTCGTCACTATTCTTGCCCTGGACTAGCACCGTAATCACAGTCACTTAACGCTTGTGCTCGATTGAGAGGCACTGCATTCGGTGCAGAACGTAGTTTTCTTCCTGCTCTGGACAGTGACAATAAATTTGAGGGATGTATTTTCGCCCACAAAATTGTATTTATTTACAATTGTATTTGAAATACCCATGTTTTAGTATTTAAATACACACGTAAGATACATTACCCAATTTGTAATTAAATACAAATGCAAAATACACAAAGTATTTAAGATACGTATTTCAAATACTTGTATTTGAAATACTGCCCATCCCTGTGATGGGGCAGAGCGGTATAAGGTTGGCGAATCTCAACTGGGCTAAAGGCTGATGACGACGGCAGCATGGATGTTTGGGAGTCTGTGTTCCCTCGAACGGGCACAGGCACTGTCTATTTAATTTATGTATGCTCGCATCTTTGAAAGGGCTCGTTTTTCCCAAGTCCGCACGAAAGCTCTGCCGTCAATCCACAGAAGCCGCGTTTAACTGGAAAAGGCGGTGCCAAGAGGAGACAAGGGATAGCGGGCGCCTTTCCTAAAATATGTCCCGCCATCCTAAGTTGAAACGGCATTGTATACAAATAAATGCCTACGGAGTCGGCTTGAGGACCCCGTGTGAGCAGCCTCCAGCCTTTAGAGTGCTCGTACCGTTTATCTTTCTTTTATTAGCTTCCCGCCACGAGAATAATACCGCAGGCAGTATGAAGCCCATTAGAGGAAACATCTCCCCCTTCTGGCGCTCGTCGGCTTCTTTTTGTATTCCGCGCTGCGGTGCTGATCCTCAGTGAGGGATGGAGGCGAGGACGAAAGCGGGCTTATGTTTAGGCCAAGGTCGTGGGGAAGTCCGGAGCGTCTTCAGGAGAAGCTCAGACTCAGACTACACTGTACCCAGAGCATTTGCTTCCTCTTTCAGTTGCGAAGAAAAGCAATTGGTCACCTGGTTGTACAAGCTGTATCCTGCGTCGATTGCTTACGTTTTTTCTTCGAGCTGACGAAGAACCCCGTGGGGGGAAGGGTTGCCTGGCGAGGCGTTTGGGGGGGGCGATCGCCCCCACCGCCCCCCCCCCCCCCTTGGATCCGCCACTGATATTATGGCTATAGCAGCGAGCGTCGACGGTGGCAGCAGCAAGCGACGGTGCGTCGTCGTGACAGCTGGCTATCGGGAGGGTGGATGAGTGGACAATACCCCGCTCGGCTCCTTATATACTTAACTCGGCTTCTCAAAGATAAAGCATGGAATGTTCGGGAAGGAGCAGCGGCGACACTGACTCGGCAAGATCATTTATTCGTAACATCCCTAAAATAGGGTGTTTTTCCCTAACACCCTTAAAGGACGGCGTTATTCCGAACACCCTTAAATTAGGGTGTGATTCCACTGTACACCTTTTTTATTAGGGCGTTATGTCTGCGCAGTACGCCCTCTAAATTGGGTGTATCACCGCCAGAAGGGGAAATAAATAAAGGCGCGATTACCAACACGCATAAAGTAGGGCGTAATTACCCAAAAGAGTGCACGAAAAAATGACTGCAAATGCCTCGTTCACTTTTTATTTTTTAATTAAGGTTCTAACATTTTCTACAAAATTCTCTATAGACGATTGCAAGCAGGTCATCTGGCCGCAGCCATGTCTCTGCTTATGCGGGCAAGTGCATGCAATTACAAGCGTGCCAAAGGGCAAAGCTACGTTCACGCGCACGTCATCAAACTTGGCGAAGGCAAGACTGAAAAAAATAGTTCTCTTTTATCCTCGCAATTTCACCACGACCAAGACACTTCTAAACCAGTGGCTGTCCGTGCCTGTAAGGTCATGAATATTTCAACCAGATATTGTTTTATAACCCCTTCAAATTGTACAACCGA